AAGTTCAAGATAACAATTTTTCTATCAATTACCTTTGAAAGAAAGTATCTGAAGATTTTGTTTCCAGATTTTTTTCATCAAATTATAATATATGGAATAATGACAAGACGATAAAGTAGAGGGTGATTTTATTCAGAAATGTAGCTTGAAATGTACGTTACTCTTTCTTCAATGTCTAAAAAAATATGTCAAAAAAAATGTAGTCATTAAAATCACAATTGGAATATCTCATCTTAACACCAGCACATCCTACCAACTCTGTCAGCAACATATTTTCGCGGCATACGAACGTGCGTTTGATTTTTCCTTTCAAAAAACAAAGGTTACTTTTTGATCCAGATGTATAAAAACATTTTTTAAATACATGCTTTAAATTCTTCTTTCTGTTTTGTTAAGAGCGATCAGTTTGGAATCTTTTCATTTTAATAGATACTGGAACCTAACATGTACATGTAGTAAAATTCTATTTTGTAGTTACTGTCTTTTTTAACATATATCCATGCCGATTTAGAAAACTATGTAAATGTAACGTACATTTCAAGATATATTTCTGTTTAATAAAAAGCTTAAAATTCATCTGAAATTCATTTAAAAATTCATCGAATTGTTTCAGTTTATTCCAAAAAAGATTCTCTATGTAATCACATTGTGTTATATGTAACAATCACCACTATAAAGACACGATTGTCTCAGAATATGAGTAGGTAACGTACATTTCAAGCTTGTAATAATATGTAAATTAGTAATAAGAAAATATTGAAAAAAAAGCAATTATTGACATAAAAATCATATCAAAGAAGCGTTTTAAGGCAGTAATATAAGAAATCATAATGTAACAAACGAGGTTATTGTCATCAACTACATGACTGTCACGTCACTTCGGTAACGTTCATTTCACATATTATTGGGGAGTCCCCTCCACCTCAGTTCATTACCATTATTTTGTGCTGTTTCGCTGAAATTGACACCGGTCGTAACCTAGTTACTTCTAACTGTGTGCAAGGATACAGACAAAAAAATATAAGAGTCAGATGTATTTTGCTCTGATCTAACAAATGTTCGTGTTTGGTCATTGAGACTTAACATAAATCTATTCCGAATATGTCCATCGTCAGTCTTGTTAACAATTTCATTTAGTATGTTGCAACATCGTTTTTCAAAACACAAACGTACGTGCTTTTCAGCAGATCTGGAAAAATATAACCCAAAATGCAATGATTCAAACAAAACTGAGTATTCAGTAGTTGAAATGTACGTGACCGTCTTGTGTTCTGGGTTTATTTGTTTTGTTTCTTTTTCTTTTCTTTTCTTTTCTTTTTTTTTTTATAAGCCAATTTTATATACCAATTATAAGCCTATGCATACCTTGTTTTAAATTATCAACAACAAATCAATCAATATTGACGAAAAGTCGCATATGAAAAGTAAACAAACTGCAAAAAGGTTGCCAAAGATGAATTTAAAACACTTAGAAATAAATTTTCTAGCATGTGGTAAAAGTCTAAAACAATTACGAGGATAGGGAGTGCATTTAGATGGATTTATGTGGCCAGTTGTCAAATGGATTGTAACAATAATTTTGTTTCGCTCGTGTAAACGCAATTCACTGACTAAATTTAAAAAAAATGTCAGTTAGAAATACATGAAATGTACGTTACCATACGTAACGTACATTTCAAATATAAAAATCAATTCTCTTCCACAAGCATACGTTAGACACGCAATATATTGATACTATTTGAACCTGCATATCATAAGAAATGCATCATACAGGTTTCGTATTCAGAAATATATACCAGGTATCAAAATTATATTACATAAAAATTTACTTTAATATATTTTTTTCCTCAGCAGAGACGTTTCTTTTCATTAATTTTGGGATTTAGCCGACCTCCAACCTTTGAAACTTTCCTTTGTGTACACATTCGAGTGTGTGACAGTATTAGAATACATGAAAATTCGTTCGAGATTCACTTAATTCGAATTTCATGGTAACGTACATTTCAGTCACGTACATTTCAAATGATCACTTTTCATGTAAAAAATAATTTTTAATTGTGTTAAGCAAAACGTCTTTGCCAGTTTACAGGATACAAGGGGTTGCTTATTCAGAGTCGTCTCATATTTTCTACTTAATATGTATTCTTAATGGAAGAATATAGGTAACGTACATTTCTTTCTTATCTCTACGATTGAAAATGTCTTTCATTCCGGAAACATATTTATAAAAGTTGCTCAAGTTGTTCAATTTCATGTTACATTATCTAAGTAGGAGTAATTAATCCTTTGAAATTTCAAATTTAGCCCATCAATAAATAAAGGAGAACAAAACTATCAGGTGTATAATCTTTGTGTTTGCTTGTAATGTGATTGAAATAGAATTAAGCGACAGGGACATTGCACAATAAAAATTATTTATTATCACAAAGAAAATGTATTTATTGTTATGAAAAGAAATATATATGATACAAGGTTTAACTAATCAGAAAATTTTAACTTGAGAATCAAAACTATATATTACACAGAGGGGATTCAGAATAATATTTGCCTCGGCGACAGTAACGTACATTTCAAATAGGCTACTATATTTGAATTTGGAAACTCCTTAAATACCCTTTCAGATCGATAATTATATGAATTCTTATTCATTGTTATATGACTATTTATAATGTTGATTTAAAAATTACATCAGTGGTATTTCTTTTAAATGAAAATGAGGCGACATTATTTGTGCCCTTATATTGAGAATGGGTGAACAATCAATACACCCTTTACCACTTCAATCCACTTCAAAACGTGTTATTCAAAATATGGTGAAAAATGCAGTGGAAAACATGTCACCTGGAAAAAAATTTTCCTATATCAAGCACATTTGGGTATACATTTTTCTTGAAGCTTGTGAATATATATATCATGGCAGTGTTATTTTTAAAGCATTTCTTGCAGACATTTATTTCTTGAATGTGAATTTTAAGAAAAACATGATTTATTCTCATGTGCATGAAAAGATACTATCAATAAGAAAAAGTGCAGAGTTTATATGAATCAAATTGTGAAATTTTACTTAATTTATGGTTACCACATGTGACCCTATGAGAAGTTCAAGGACTTCTGTTTTTTTTTCTTCCAGATAAATTTGATGAAGAACAAAATAAAATTCAGACTTAACCCAATCATTGAACCCACTATCCAGAATCCATAAGGTATAGCAAAGCTTGATACATTTTTACCCAATGTCAAAAATATCTTTCCTTAGAAATACAAATCATAAACCTGCACACACAAGGAACAGCTATATTTAATAAACAAATAATATCACTAAAAAAAAAACATACTGGAATACGGTACATGATTACAAACAATAAAAACTGAATATTATTCATATCTGACATGTAAAAGATTTGATGATCGAGGCCAACAAGTATATTGCACAATTTTGTTAAACCACAAATACGGGACTTGGTACATTCTTGGTCATAATAATTAAAACATTCCCTCTCCAAAAGGAAACAGAGAAAAAAAAAACCAAACATTGACATTCATCACAACACTTTTCATCATTACTATCTTTCCCATAATCTTTCCTTAGAAAAAAATATGACTATATTACAACATCCTTTGTTCTGAATAAAATTTTTGGAAAAAATACAAAAAATGAGTTCCATCCCATGGACAGACAATCTGCATTTCCACTTTATAAACAGTTGTGCACCCCATCCAACAGGAACCACTGACCCTGGGGCCACATATTTCAAAATTTTCAAAAAGACATCTTCGTTTGTCAGAAATGGTTGATTAATACAAAATTGCTGATTTCAAAGCATAATAATTCATTTTCAGAATATGTTAACCCCCTCCTCCAGTGCTCCTGACCCAAGGGCCTTGAAATTAATCATTTTGGAAGAGGCACCGTTCTTCGGCATAAATTTGTACTTAGATCATTGGCATGATACCCAGGAGCAAAATGAAGGAATAGATTTTCGGAGAATTCATGTATTTTCACTATATAATCATTAGAGCCCTGCCCTAACACCAGAACCCCTGACCCTTGGGCTATGAAATTCACAAATTTGGAAGAGACAGCCTTCCTCATTATAACAATGTAATTGGTTTAATACTAAGAAGCAGAGGAGATTTTTTCAAAGAATTAATGTATTTTCCCTACCAGGGTATATAATTATTAGAGCCCAGCCCTACCAGAACCCCTGGCCCTTGGGCCATGAAATTGTCATGTTGTAAATTTTGAATTTCCCGCGGGTGACAGTAAGGGAGGTCAATATTACCGCTACATCGCCATCAATTTCAACTCATTACCGCTACATTTTTCAAATTTTCGACCGATCATTACCACTTCATTTTTTGTTTACCGAAATCAATTCATTACCGCTACATATTGAACCAGCCGAAAACAACTCATTACCGCTACATATTGAATCAGCCGAAAACAACTTATTACCGCTACATATAGAACCAGCCGAAAACAACTCATTACCGCTACATATTGAACTAGCCATGTATGGTACGGAATATGATTTCCAATCATGAAAGATAAAACATTATATAATCATTGAAAATTGCGGTTTACCTTTTTTGTTGGTTACCCCCCCCCCCCCTTTCATTTAGCCACCCACTTTCAATTTGCTTCCGAACGCCTTTGATTTAATACCAAGGAGCAGAAGAGATGATTTTTAAAGAATTAAAGCATTTTCACTGTGTAATCATTAGAGCCCCGCCCTAACACCAGAGCCCCAGACTCGGGGGCCATAATGTTAACGCACGACGAACGAGGCCCGCCGACGGAAGAAAAAAAACTCATAGCAATAGGTCACCTGAGTGACTTAGGTAACCTAAAAATGAAACTCGTAAATTTACCTATCTTGTCATCGGTCATTTTCAAATTATTTTGTATAAAAAATATTTTAATTGTTGTCACCTTAACTCTTTTCATGAAAAAACAAAGCAAAGGCAAAGAAATAAAATAAATCAAAAGAATTTATTTATAATTGAAAAATAGTTATGTAACTTCATAAAAATTAATCCATGATCTGACAGGAAACTTCAATAAATGCAAAATGTGGTCCATCATGGCATAATTTGTGAACATAGTTTATTGAAACACTTTTGAGAAAATGAAAGATCTTTGGTATAGTCTATAAAGGAAGGCCTTGGAGATCAGTGGAAAAAACGGGAGAAAAATCCTGAAGATCTCTTCTTTTGTCCATTTTCTTTCTTCTACAAATAATAAAAAAACAATTAAATAAATGTAAGGTCTATAAGTCATGCTAAGAATTTCCTGAGGTATTCATACAGTAAAATACGCTTGCAAAGTGATAGAGACAACACAATTTTCTTCTAAATACAACTCGGTACATGTATACCTGAGAAGTATTTAAATAATACGTTTTAAAAAAAATCTCTGTGTTGTTAGCTAAATTCGTAATAAGCGTGTTCGGTATAATGGTGTTTAACTGTATAAGATAAATGTCTACTATACTATAAGACTGAGTATAGGTACATGTATTTCTATTTAAACTTTCTTGAAAACATGTGAATGGGTTTTATTCATGTTGCACTGTATCATAAATATTATGTTTGATACATTTGTACATCAAATTTACTTACATTTCTGCATAGCAACTTGAATGACAAATTCCATTTACTTCCTTTCTTGCAAATCTGTGAGAACAATACATAAATCATATTAAAAATAATCATTTTTTAATAAATTGTTAATTGTTGTTACTAGAAAATGTTTAATTTAAGATGCAAATTTGGAGTATAGGCCCCTATATGATAAGAGCCAATTCTGGCCCCCTAAAAATCTACATTTTAGAATGACATTCAGATATGTTTAATTGATATTTATTTTGAAGAAGAGATTATATTAGAAATATTTCTAATATATTTTTCACATTTATATGCACTCTCTAGCTGTAAATGACATGAGAAATAATGCTATTTCTGCTATTTAACAAAAAAGCCAAAAATACGCCTTTTTCTTGATGTTTTTTTCTTATGGGAAACATAGAGCGCAGTGTAGAACATACATAATTTTTCTGTCACTAATCAGTATTGGATAGATACATCTTTGTAAAATATAAAAATATAAAGCTTGTTCTAGGCTGCGCTCTATATTTTCTGGAAGAAAAACTGCTTGAAAATAAGCAGTTTTACACAAAATATGCTAAAATGGCGGGAAAACGTGATTTTTATGATGTCATATTTCTAAAATAACGGCATTTTGATCAAAATGAAAATGACCTATAAAGGTCGCATATATAGCTGTACAAATTAAAGCTATATATAAAGTAAAATTAAGATATTCATTTTAAGGGGCCAATTGAGACACTTACCATATATCGCTCTTTGAGTAAGGAATAAGAAATCACCATATAACAACAAAGTAATATGTTACTTAAAGCAAGAGGCCCATGGGCCACATCGCTCACCTGAGTAACTTGGGTGATGCAGTTCTTATCAGATTCCCCCTCTTGTTATACCTATCATGCCCCACTACCCCCTTCCCTTTTATGATTTTAAGAATTTAATATCTACACTACCCAAGGATGCTTCCATATAACTTCCAGATTTTTAAAGATTTGTTCTATATACTTCTATGTAAAACTTGGATTCCCTATTGTGGCCCCGCCCTACCCCCGGGGGTCATGATTTTATCAATTTAATATTTACACTACCCAAGGATGCTTCCATATAAGTTTCAGCTTTCCTGGCCCAGTGGTTCTTGAGAAGAAGATTTGTTAGTGACCCCACCCTATTTTTGTCTTTTCTTGATTATCTCCCTTTGTAAAGGGACTTGGCCCTTCATTTTAACAATTTAAACTCCCCTTCAACCAAGGATGCTTTGTACCAAGTTTGGTTAAAATTGGCCTATTGGTTCTTGAGAAGAAGTCGAATGTGTGAAAAGTTTACAGACGGACGGACAGACGGACGGACGACGGACAAAATGTGATCAGAAAAGCTCACTTGAGCCTTTGGCTCAGGTGAGCTAAAAAGTACAAAGTACCAGTTGACTGCAACATTTTTAATGAGTTATAAGTACTAGAATATAAAAGTACTTGGGAAACATACCTGATCAGTCTTTTGTTCAGTATCTATTAGACGTGTCTCATATTCTGGTCCACTTGTACATCCATCTCTAGCCAGCTCAGTGGGAATACTCTTGGAGCAAATTTCTACCAGTGACAAGGGGTTCTAAAAGTAAAAGCATTTATCACATAAGATTTATCCTTCAATCGGAGTTCCTCGGATGACTCGTACCTCGCACATTAATGGAGCGTAGCGGAGTCAGCCGAGGACTGCCGATTGTTTATCCTTAGGTTTTAAAATACTTCATTCGCATTTGCTTGTGTACAGAAATTTGAATTAAATGAGGAAGGTTAAAATAATCCGTACCGGTGACATTAAGACCTCCATGAAACGTATTGATGGTAGTAACATTAGTTTGATATAGGGGTTCAGTTCTTCATCCTGAAAAAAAGAATGAGATATGTCAATTGTTTTCTGTTTTATGCCCTTGATTTACCCCGGTTAAAACATCTTTGTAGTTTCTAATCTCAAATTTGATTTTTAAACACTTTTAATAGCAAATGTTTAGAACATCTACTCACTTCTAACTCCATGGTGTCTTTTAAAGGAGAATTGGCTCTGGATTCCTTGATCTCTTCATATTGTTCCTCCTATTAAAAATATCAAAATAAGTCTAGAAACTCAGAGTGATTATATTTTTATTTTATAAGCACTTCAAAAATCAGTCCTTATACATGTTCGTGTAAAATGTATTTTTATACAACTGGAATTAAACCCTTTTAAATTGATGTCAACAAAAAAAAAGTTTTATTATAACCTGAAAATGGTAATTTTATCTGAATGGACAATTATAATATCTAATAACTTACAATCACTGTGTCAAATCCTGGTTTATAATAATTTCTTTTTTGCCATTCATATCTGTAACACGCGTGAATGGTATCATCCCCAACAAATGGCTGAAATATAGATTTACACAATCTATTACTGTAAACCAACTTTTATTCGCGTGCGAGAAATACCCGCGAGTTCCGCGACCTTCTTTAACTCGCGAATATTAATAACAGCGAACCATTCATTTTGCTAAGGATTTGTAGCGAATATTTCCTCGGTCACGGAAATTAATCTTCGCGGATTCATTTTAAACTGACGAATCGCGAATAAAAGATGACGCGAATAATAGTTGGTTTACAGTATACAACTTTGATAAAGAAAAAGAAATATTCACTTCTTGATTAAATATTTAACTTATTCTGTTCTTAAATTATAAGACCGAACTTTAAAAGAAAGAAGGACGGCTCTTACTTCGAGACATGGTAATTGGCGTCCTAACCATCCGAGGTATTCTTCTCCGCTTGAAAATTCTGGTTTGATGTCTTCGTCGTCATTTTCTGCTGCTAGCTGTTCCATAGGTTCTCCCTCCTGGAGAAAATTTAGGAAACGTAAATAAAGTCAATTCGACAGTAGTTTTATATTAAGAAGTCAACTGAATGAACATGAAATTGAAAAGTTATATTTAATTTTTTGAATTAGAGCATGATTGAAATGACTCACAAAGAGTGTTTCCAGCCAAGGCGTGTAGCTGAAATCGTCCCGACTCCATTGGCGGAAGAAATAATGATGAACCTCATATTCTGGTAAAAATGGCTAAAAAAGAAAGAAGAAAAAATGTAGACTTCAAATCCGAAATTGAAATAATAACATGATCATACACAATGTATTGATATCGAAAGTACAATCATTATTTTTTCACTATAGAAATATCCTTTCTGCTGAATTTTGCATTAGATTATTTTTAGATTATTTTACTTACTTCCAGATAAGAGAGTCTTCCCTCCACCCAATCGAGAAATTCTGATCCGCTAGAAAATTCTGGTGTAATGTCCTCTTCGGGTTTTATTTTGTACAAATCTTCCTCTGCTTCTTCCTTGAAAAAAATATGAACAATAATTTCAGTTCATTTCCGCATTGAAAAAGTTTCCAAAATGAATTGAAATTATCACCCTGTAAAAGTCCTAAAAGTTGCATTTCGCCTTTTGTTACTCTTTCTTACCTTAATTGTGTCCAAGTCCTCAGCATATTCTTTGATCCTCCACAGCTCTCTTGCTATGGTCGCATCGTCCGGTAGATAAATCTGAAAATTGTTTCACTTATTAATCAACATAATAAAATTTAAATTTTTATTTGTTATGAAAGTAAACGTATGAAAATGCACCATACAGTTTTGTTATAAAACAAATTAAAAAAAAAAAGTACCTTAAAGATATTTTCTGGTATGTCAAAGAAATTGCCTCTGCTAAAGTTGTTTGGGGAGATTTTTGCAATATCTTTCCTTTTTTCCTAAAAAAAAATATATAAGTCAAGTTAATACGATGAAGTTTGTGAAATCAAAAAATTATATTCATCCGAAATTATTCCAAAAGAAAAGTATAACTACCTCTCTTCTACGCTCCTCTTTGAGTTCCAATTCCTTCTTGAATTCCGTCATATCGTTTGGAACAGCCGCCTAAATTCAAAAGGTCATGATAATACGATGATTATCTTTTTGTACATTCAACTAAAAATCATTTTCGCTCAAAAAAAAGGGGGGGGGGGCTTCGAAAAATTTTTGACTTACTCTCATCTTCATCTGCATCTTGTTCAGCCTGTTATTCAAGCTCATCAGAAATTCATTACCATTTCTGTATTCTCTTTCTTCATTTACATCCTAAAAGAAAAAAATATTGTGACATATTATATATATGCAGTATAATTATTTAAGACTTTTTAGATTATATTATTTTGCAAACTAAATATTTAAATTACCATCGTGATTGCTCTTGCTAATTATAAGTTGTCTGCTTTGTTGTCTTTCATCAAAGCGATTATGACGTCATAGTTAAAAGTTCCCATCATAGAAACGCTAACTAAAACCCTTTCGGTTTCCAAACCCGATAGATTTTTTTTATATTGATGTACAAAACACTTTTCTTTTATATTTATTATAAGAGATGTTTATAAATGTAAAAAAAAAAAGATAATATCTCTCATAAATAATGGAAACAAATGATGCTAAAAATATTAACAATTTTCTTTTTTCTTATTAGAGCAGTTTTAATTTCTCGTTGCTTTTCACATATATATATGTATTATATAAATTATCAATCTAAAGTCGTTTTAATATCGAAATAAGTATTCGCAGTCTTTAAAGTTTTTAGAAATATTGTTATAAAGATGTTGGCTGAAGATTACTTACCATTGTCTTCATTTGAATTTCAAAATAATGATGAATCTTTACATTCAGCTTTGTTGGTCATAAATCACAAGTCTGCGCTCTTGCATTGGAAGCAATTGTGACGTCACAATGCGCAACGTCATCGTGCTTTATCCAAACCCGATGGAAAATAATTTTGTATCGGTGGAATAAAAAAATATAAAAGTAAGTACAATGCAAAAAGGGGGGAAGGAAAGAAAGGAAATAACACAACTCATCAAATATAAATAGTTTATAAAGAACATAGTTTTGAAAATAATGGGGGAAAATGGATTATGTACTAGCCAGTGACAAACTTCGTTCATTACCTTCCAACGTCCAGTTTGGCCTTAGAAATTTGACTTTGACCTTAAACCAAGAAGGGAAATTTTTATTCCATTTAGAACACCTGAAATAATTTCAAAGGCTTGTTTTTAGGCAGACAAATCAAGTTTTTTTTTATCTATATTCTTTCCAATTCAAATGACCACCCACACCCTGCATACTTTTCATCAAATGCTTAAGGAACAGACCCCTAGCAAGGATTTCAAAAGTGGGTAGAGGGCAACAACAATAAAATGTATGGAAGGGGGGCAACCTACATATAAATGAAAATTTACTAAAGCAAAATACCATACTCATAAAAAATTTGGCTCTTTTTAGATTTTAAAATGACACATCCATATTTTTAAAATGACATATCCATATTATTGTTACTTCTTGATTTTTTTTTCATCTCATGAGAGAGCATGTATCTCTTCATTTTAGCAAACTTTCATTTCTCTTCATTCAAGGATACTTTATTGCAAGTTTGTTTGAAACTGGTTAAGTTCTGGAGGAGAGGGTTGAATTTTTTTAAAAAGTTTACTGATATCACAAACGGACAAATGGACATGAACACACTTTGATAAGAAAAGCTTACTTTTTGGCCCAAGTGAGTTAATAAAAATCAAAACAAGCACAACAGAATGAGTGGTGAAATTGTTTATCTAACAATATTGCTGTAATGTTGTACATAAATAGAGGAATGCATCATATTTTGTTAAAGAATTATTCTACATATATAAAGAAAATTTGTACATTTTCATCAAGAGTATCATAAATCAAATAGAGTTAGAAAAAATACGCAGTTGGGAAACAACAAAGAGAAATCAATTTTTTTGACAAGATTTGTAAAACTGAAACTAAACCACCCAACAATAAAAAGTTAGGAAACATTAAAAATGGCCACATATAAGGAGCATGGTGACTAGGTGTTGATCACAGTGTTAAGTTATAAATAAAATCATCCCTTCCCAAAGGATATTTCAAAGTACCGTGTAATTGTTTTACTTTCAAAATTATCTGATGGCTTTTAAATACCAGATTTTTGCTTTGCCTTTGATCAAAATCAGCATTTCTAAATACAGGCTAACCTTTCAAAATATGAAAAGATAATCAAAGTCTAGAAACATACATGTAGAAGCTGTAAAATCTCTGGACTAAACTTTATCCCCCATAAAAAAAACTGTTGATTAACATTTATACAATCTTTACATTTGGTTCAAAGGTACATGTATAGTAGGGGGAAAATTTTTTTAACAAGTTTAAAGCAAATTAAACAGTTCAGACCAGAACATACATATGGACGGTAGAATGAGACTAAATATGGAATAAAATTTGATTGAAAAAAAATATGGCTATTAATTAAAAATTAGGATATTATAATTTATTACATTGGCATATATGTATTTTTTAAATTTTCAAGACTGAAATAATATGTAATACAATATGGATTTTTTTTGTATGGAACTAACATTAGATTACATGGGAATATAATCTTAAACTTATAACACTCAATACACAAACATGTGTAAAAATCCCTGTGTTATGAATAAATATATAAAAATGCTTATAAATACATAATGATTTTATGGCAATTTTTGGTTGGGGAAAAAAAGATGTTATAAAATATACAGAAATGAATTACAATTTTTAAAGAAGATGCTTGAAAATGATAGAAAATAGTGTTAGCTGCTTTGAATAATGATGATGAAAACATGAACAAAACAATGCGTCATAACTAAGAAATTTAACAGGTGCAGCCAAAAAAAGGCATGTATGAAAATTATGGCACAGAATGTTTTACATAAAGGGTTAGTGATGAGATTGACACAAATGAAAATGAATTCATGACATAACAGAAATTGCGTGATAAGTGAGAGCAGTACAATGATATACCTGGTACAATATGTGGAAAATACATATACAAATAATATCAAAAATTAATTGCAAGATATACATGTATGGTATACTTTATAAACTAATGCTTGTTACAGAAAATTTGTTTATTTTTGTTTGTTCTTTAAGAGTTTGATGATTTTTTTTCTTTACACACAAAAACCAGAAAATCTATGCATATATAAATAAAAAGGAAAAATACAAGATACGAAAAAAAAAAATCCCATACAAATTCTGGATATTTGAATATACATGTAAATATAGGAAGACACTGATTGCACATATACAATTGCTTAACAAATACAATCCATGCAAATACAGGTATATATTAACTGAAAAATAACACGTGTTACAACTTATATGTGAATACAAAACATTATATGAACAATGACCCATCTGTTACAAAGGATCAAATAAAGAGAAATACAGGGGTAAAGGGACTGAGTTAATTATCTAGAAATAGGGAACAAAAATGAACAAAAAATACTGTGTAAATGTATAAATAATGTTGCACTTCATCAATAATTTTTTTTTTGATCTTGTGGAATCTTCAAGGTCACAAACTTTTTAGAGCATCCAGACAGGCAAGATAGACTAAAGTATACTGGTCCTGAAAGAAAGTTCATAATGTCAACGGTCAATTTAAAATGGCAAAACAGCATCCATGTACCAATTCTGAAAATTATCTGGCAATCAAGGAAAAAAATTTTTTTTTCAGACAGTAGAAGGAAATTTGTATATGGAATGTTTTACAAGAACAGACAAAACTTAAGTGTATAAATATAATTAGCTAGTGCTCAAAATCTTTGATGGCCTTAAAATTACTTGTAAATTACTCATACAATAATAAATTTAAGATTACTTTCTCCATTTTTATAAACTTAAAGAAAACTTCAGAGTTCTAAAAAAAAAAATGCTAGAAATCTCTAACCTTGACTTGAATCATGCCATATCTCTGCTTGCGTAGCTCTGTTACTATTTCAAATATATCACACTGAAAAAGAGAATAGCAGCATAATAAATTCCATATATTCCTTAACAAAACCATATACATATGAAAACAAGTCATGGTATGTAATTTGAAAATAATTAATAAACTTCATAAAATTCTTTCCATTTTTATGCGCCCAGATCAATAGTCTGTTTGTTTATCTGTCTGTCTGTTGTCAACGTTAACCTTTGCCATAACTTTTACACCATGAGAGATAGAGGCTTCATCTTTAGTATGCATATTTCACCATTTTAAAAGTTCTTTCAGATGACTCCAAGGTCAAAGACTTAATGACCTTAACTGATACATATATGCTGAAAATAGCTTTTTCAAACTTTCGCCATAACTTTTCACATTTGGTATACATACTCCATCAATTAAGTTCTTTCAAATGGCACCAAGATCAATGATCTTCTTACCCTGACTGACCAATATGCTAAAATTTTTTTTTTAACTTTGCTGCCGCCTGACACATAGTGTTTCATAAACACATCTTATTTCTTATTATTTTGCTTTCACTTTGTACACACATACCCGCCCTTTCTTTTCAATCTGAGCCAGGGCCAGATCTATGGTGATGAGAACACCAGTTCTTCCTATCCCCGCACTGCAGTGGACAAGAATGGGCCCTGTGGTATGATGGGCGTGGATCAACTGTAGGTACTGTCAACATAACAAACAAACCAGTTACAGCAAAGGAAATGTCTTTATAATAGTTTCACCTTTATAATACATCATTATATAGTTAAATCTTCAAGTCACATACTTATAATACTGTAAATAATACCTCCATAAAAAAGTTTTAACTTTAAAATATTTGTTGTTTCCCATTCATTTTATTAAAATAATTCGTGTGAAAAAGAAATTGAAAACTGTGGAATCATCATTGTAAATGGAGATTTTGTGGATTTTGTTTTGGAAAATCAAATACAATAAAGAATTTTTTTTTTAGCTGAGGATGAACCTTAAATCGACATCCTGATGTTAAGGGGGGACCTATGTCGTTCTACGTCAAGGCAGCGTTATGTGACGTCACAATAGCGACGTTTGCTGTTACCTGTTGACTCTTGCAACTGTGAGATAGGCATAACATTGCTGATAATCAATAACGTACACAATTTACAAAAAAGAAAATTTATTCATCATTAATAACAGTTTTATTTGATTTATGAATTCTCTCTTCCTTTGGTTGATAATTCATAGCAATTTCTGTTGTGAAAAAATACCTCGATAATATGCTGATATAATAGTGCAAAAAAGAGATAAAATTCAGCAAAGAAAGCGGCTTAAATCAGGGAAATATGTTTAATTTTATAATTACCATTAATCGATTTTCTGGAGAAAACTAAGAAAAAAATTGAGAAATTTACTTGAACAGGTGTATATTTGCTTATTGATTTATATAGTACATGTAGATTTTATTGTATAAAGTCATTCCTAGGTTCTAATAGGCATTGGTTGTTGACGGGGATGTGGGGAGGGGGGGGGAGAAACAGAATGAATGGAATGTAGAAGAAAATTATCTATTTAAATTAGTTTTAATCAAAACAAAATACTCGTTTTCTGCAAAATAGTTTTATATTCAGATATTTGTAAGTACTTACTTACCCTTTTTTAGTGCAGAAAGGTCAATATTTATGACACAAGAGTACCAAAATAAAAGAAAACATCATATTTCTCGTTTATTTTATCATAAAGGTATACTTTTTTCTTTGTTGAAATAAAGAGATGAATCATTTCTTTCCAAAAATATGAATAACAACATTTTCACACAAAGACTTTTTAAGATATTACCTGTTATGCATGTCGGAATTGCAAAAAATATGACAAGAAAAAATGGGGTAATACTAACATTGTGCTCCATAATAATATTTCATGCGAGATGGATTTCAATGAATTTGCCTCCATTTTAAAGATACAAGTCATATAAATTAAATAAGTGTTGATTTTGACTATGATTTGACATTTTTGGTTCTTTTTAGCGCATATTTGGGGTAGAACAATAATGTCTGAAAATAATCTATTTTTAGCATTTCACACTGTTTTTGCACGTGCTCTTGTGTAAAAGTAAGCATATAAAGGTATTGTTTTAAATACCTAAAAATTAAGAGCAAGTGGTAAGGAAAGAAATATCAAAGTTTTGAAAATTTCACACAAAGACTTTTCGGACATAGGTCCCCCCTTAAGGACAAGATACTGTACATGTATATAAAAAGTGGGCTTCATATTTTAGTGGCTTTGGCACAGACAACAGTGCTCTAATTAATGAATACCGCTAAAGAATAATACGACATACAGTGCGGAAGTGTGTAGCGTTAATTCATGAATATGCCAATAACTGCATGCCAAGTGATTGCGCTAAAATTTTGAATACACCAATATATGTGCACGTACAGTAATTTCTATGACGTTAAGATTAATAAGCATTGGAATTTGACTAACTGACCTGTAGGAGTGGTTTTGTGTTGGGGACTGCTTGATCAGGCCAATTTGTGAACATGAAGTGATACACTAATCGACCTTTTCCTTCTGCCATGTTTTCTATCATTATTTCTCTGACATCAAAGTGCTCCAGATACTGCACCCTCAATAAACTCAGCTTGT